AAATCTGAAATAGAAACAGAATGTGCTGGAAATACTCAGCAGGTCCGGCCACATCCATGAAGAGACAAACAGAGTTAAAGTTTCATGTTCAAAATGACTTTTCTTGAGAAATGATTTTAGTTTGTTTGTTACAATAAGAGTCTTTAATTATTAAATCTTGTCCGTCAGTTAATTAAGGTTAGGCTTTGCTGTGATTACATGTTTTTAAAAAAAATCCACCTCTACAGGGATTATATGTCTATGTGCTCCTTCTTGTTACAATATGTGAAGAATACTTCTCTGCACAATAAGATGTTACATAATGGAGATGTTAACTAGAGCAGAAATCAGAAGTTAAAACATTTGATTTTCCTGAAGGCAGATACAAGGTCTAGGAAAAGGTGAATACATTTGAACCAGCTGTCTTTGATAAGCTTGGATAATATCATTCTACTCTTATATTTCCCTTCTCAGTGACTCCCACAACTACAAAAACAAACGAACTGAGGGCATTGTTCCTAAGTTTGCAGATGAGACAAAGATAGGTGGAGGGACAGGTAGTATTGAGGAGGTGGGGAGGCTGCAGAAGGACTTGGACAGGCTAGAAGAACGAGCAGAAATTGGCAGATGGAATACATTGTGGGAAAATATGAGATTATGTAATTTGGTAGGAAAATTAGAAATGGAGAAAGCCTTCAGAAATCTGAAGCAAAAAATGGACTTAGGAGTTCTAGTTCAGGATTCTCTTAAGGTTAACATGGAGATTCAGTTGACAGGAAAGCAAATGCAATGTTAGATTTCATTTCAAGAAGGCTAGAATACAAGAGCCGAGATGTACTGCTAAGGTTGTATAAAGCTCTGGTCAGACTGCACTGGAATATTGTGAGCGGTTTTGGTCCCTGTATGTAAGGAAGGATGTGCTGTCATTGGAAGGGTGCAGAAGAGGTTTGAAAGAATGATCCTGGGGATTTGGGGCTTGTCACATGTGATGTGGTTGAAGACTCTGGATCTGTACTCAATAGAGTTTAGGAGAATGAGTGGGGATCTGATTGAAATTTACAGAATACTGAGAGGCCTGGATAAAGTGGATGTGGAGAAGATGTTTCCACGAGTAGGAGAGACTAGGACTTGAGGGCACAGTCTCTGAGTGAAGGGACGACCCTTTAGAATTGAGATGAGGAGGAATATCTTCTGCCAGAGGGTGGGTAGTCTGTGGAACTCATTGATGCAGAAGGCCATGGAGGCCAAATTTTTGAGTGTATTTAAGACAGAGAGAGATAGGTTCTTGATTAGTAGGGGGATCAAGGGTAATGGGGAGAAGGCAGGAGAATGGGCTTGAGAAACATATCAGCCATGTTCAAATGGCAGAGCAAACTTCATGGGCTGAATGACCTGATTCTGCTCCTATATCTTACGGTCTTATGGTGTAATGTATATTTAGTGTATTGTAGTACAAGCTCTATTTGTAGATATAATTTGGAGCCAGGATACTAGTATCTGTTCATTTTCTTTCCTTGTAGGCCTAGAGGTGACTAGTAATGCCTGAAGAATACAGCGTACTACATCATCTTTACCAACGTTAACAAACAATAGCAGAGCCACACATTTCACAAAAGTAAAGTTAGTGATTTTAAAAATGCAACTGTGCGTGAGACAGAGTGCACACAAATGAACATTAACAAATTATTAGCGGCACACCTAAATTTGGCCTTCATTACCTACATGTTCACATGTCAATAGTTATGGAACACATCGCTGCCTTGTGGACCTGGTGTTCATTTGAAAATTTGTACTGAAATAAAATGTTTTCCTAAATCCTATCTTCTCCATTTCTCCTGCTCTGAAATCCAGTACATGATTCACTTATTTCTAAATTTCTTGTGCGCAAATAATATTCTGTTTTTAAACGTATATTGTTATGAGCACATAAATATTGTTGCTCCTACAAATTTCAAAAATACTTTTTATATTATAGAAGCATTCAAAATGCTGGAATAAAATTATCTGTTGTTAAAGGCAAGTTGGAACAAAATAAATTGTATTGGCCTTTAAGAGTTCTGTTGTGCGTAGAGCACCTAGTGATCCCATTCTAAATTAAATTTGAAAGCAAACAGTCCAAGTCTGTTTAAAAGCCAGAAAACTGCGACAGGTTATGCATTTGAATTGTTTTGGATGAATTATGAGACCATAATGAACCTTTGATGTAAAATAAATGTAATACTTGGCAAACAAATGCAGCTGCCTAAGCTGTTTAGAAAACTGTAGACTAAAGAAATTAGATGCAAAACGTGCCGATGACCCATTTGCCCACGTTTACAATCCCTTAATGTCTATTTTGAATCTGCATAACTGCATAATAAATCAATGTTCTTGCATCTAAGCCAACAGGTTGACCTTTAATTAACATACAACTTTTATTTGAGTGTAATATTTTTCTTAAAGCTGTTAGATTAAAAAAGAGAAAGGAAAATAAGCAGCAACTGATATAACTCTATTTTGGCACAACATTATCAAACCATATCATGGGATGGGGAGAATCCTACCAGAAAGAAATGCGCAGAAAGCATTTGCACCTACACATCTGAGGAGATTTGTGCACGGAAATGATGATTTATCATGGATATTGTGACAGAACTATGCAATTAATGCACCCAGAACTTAGAACCATATTGACGGCAGACACAATCAGTGTGACTCTGCAATGCATTTAGTGCCAAATATTCCGAGCATCAGCAGAAGATACGTGATCAAACTCCAAAGCTGTGGTGTACAGCTGCATTATGCAGCTGGCAAATGCATTGTTTAGTCAGTCAGTGATTTCATTCGTTGACCATGGATGAGTCCTAGGGAACAAAAGCTATCCGCAGAACCCCTGTTTTATGACTACTCTGGCAGACCAAGATACAAGAAGAGATTCAGAAAGCAATAAAATACACACAATGATCAGAATCTTGCCACAGCAGACAATTAAACGTTAAAAGTTCAGATGGCTCAATACTATTAGAGAAATTCTCATGTACAACGTAGCTAGCCCTAATTATTGTATTTGGCCTTGTTTTGTAAAATCCTGACATTTACAGGTTCATTTTGTCAAGGATTAGTAGAAAGAGAGGCAACCTTAAACTAGTGACAAAAGAGAACCCCCACCAAGAATGAAAGTAGGTCTCAGCTGAAACAACTGTTCACCAAAAGTCTTAAAGTAAGTAGGTTGTAATGTATAACTTAAGAGTTAGCACTACCAATGCAGAAAACTCACTTATTCAAATACAAAATATCCTCACACAATAAAGAAAGCCTACCACTGGCTTCAGCTGAACATCAAGAATCTTAGTTATTTTTTAACTACAGAAAGGAATAAAACTAAAGTCACCATACTGCACTAACATAAACACCAGAAATGAAGTTAATCACGAAAATACCTTCTTACGAACATCTGCAGGCTTCTGCCAAAATCAGGACAGGGAAATATGAATATAGACTGATTCAGTATCTAAGGAGTTGAAAATGCTACTGAATACTGTACAATCAAATATTTCCAGTTCTGACCTTATCATGGAGGGAAGGTCATTGAAGGAGCAGATGAAAATGGCTTAGGTCAATGATGCAATAAGAAACTGGAACAGGAGTGGTCCATTCAATCCGTCGAATTTGATTCACTATCAATAAGATCATGGTTGATCTGATTGTGACCTCAACTCTACTTCATGCCTAACCTCCATAATAATTAGCTCTCTTATAGATCAACAATCAATTTATATCAGCCTTGAATATTTTTGACAAAAGTTTCCACGCCTCTATGATAGAGATTTCCAAACAATAGCAACTGTCTGAGGGAAAAAATACTCATAGCTTATGTGTCAAATGGGAGCCCCCTTATTCTCAAACTGTGTCCGCTGGTTCTTGATTTCCCCACAAGGGGAAATATCTTTCCAGCATCTACCATGTCGAGCCTCCTCTAAATTGAATGTATTTCAATAAGATCATTTCACATTCTTCTAACTTCCGATTTAATAAGGCATAACATGCCCATTATTTCCTCATAGAAAATTTTTTCATTCTGGAAATGAGCTTAGTAAACATTTTTTGAGCTGCTTCCAAAGCAAATAAATCCCTCCTTATGTAAGGAGACCAAAAATACATTCTGTAGTAAATATTCCAACGTGGTCTCATCAGTGCCCTGTACAATTGTAACATGATTTCCTTCTATCTCCCTTGCAAGAGGAGTTCACATTCCATTGGCCTTCCTAATTGCATGCTGCATGTGTATGCTAACTTCTTTATTTCAGGTATAAGAACACCTGGAACCTTCTAAATTCGAGCATTTTAGAATATTTCTCTATTGAAATAATATTTTGTTTTTCTATTCCTCTTGCCAAACTGGACAACTTCACATTTCTAGCCTTATAACCCATCTGGCAAATTTTGCCGACTCATTTAACCCATCTGTATCTCTTTGCAAGCTCTTTACATCCTCCTCATAACTAGCCTTCCTACCTATTATTGTGTCATTAGCAAATGTGGCTACAATACACTCAATCCCATTATCCAGGTCATGAATATAGATCATAAATAGTTGAAGCGCCAGCACTGTTCCTAGTAGCTTTCTATTATATAACCAAACTGAAAATGAGCATTGTTTCAACTCTTAGTTTCCTGTCAGCTAATCCTCTATCCCTACTAATGTAGATTTAGATTTAGATTTAGATTTATTGTCATGTGTAGTCAAGTACAGAAGTACAGGAGTGCAGCAAAAAGTGTATAATGTTGCCACACATGAGACTATCTTAGGTACAAAGGTACCTAAGTACAGAAACTTAGGTACAAAGTAGTAAAAGAGAAAAACAAAGTTAAAAAGTTCAGCATTACAGACCTTATAGAATAAGTAGAAAAATAAAGAAATAAAATAACAGTTAACATTAAAGACCTTCTTAATGTAAACTAGAAAAATAAAGAAATAGAGTTCAATGGTCTTTCTTGAGTGTTTTGCCATGCTGGGCCCCAATCTCCTCTGCTTAGCTTACTCTCTGGAAGACCTTAGCTAGCTGTTCTTGACACCGCCACAGAAGAAACTGGTGACGTCCCACACTGTCCGCTCTTCCTGTGCTGAGCCGCGATGCCATCATCTCTGCTGCTGCCACTGAAGCTGCCATCACTGATCTCTTCCTGCTGCCCCCGGAATGTGCCCAGACAGGACCTGCTCACAGCCTCCGATCACTGGGTATGTGCTGGGCCCTGCTCTCACTGCCAGCCACCTCAGATGCCAGGCCAAGAGACTGCCACGGGCTGCCAAGACACCATCATGGGATGCCGAAACACACCCACTCCGGGCCGAGAGGCCAAAAGAAGAAAAGAAATACAAAGAGAAACAATCGGACAGAGTGGACAAGCTCTGCCTGAAATGTCCTGCTCTGCTGCCATCTTGGAATCAAGTCTACGCCCCAACACATAAGTTATCATGTGCAGTATTTTTTTATGTGGCATCTTATTGAATACCTTTTGGAAATCCAAATACATAACATCTATTTGTTCCACTTTATCCAAACTGATTGTTACATCTTCAAAGAACTACAATAAATATGCTAAAAAGGATAACTGTATCAGTGGACATTCCATACCTGAGTGCTAATGGCCTTGCAAAATGGCATCCGATGTGACTCATGCAGAAATGCCCATGCTGGTACAAATGCCATTCCAATGTCAAAATGCAAACGCCATCAAGAAACCAAGCTTTAAGGAACTGAACTGCAGAACCAGAATCTTTTTATGTGAACATAAAAAGGCAAATATTACTTTGAATTCAGCATAATTTGAAAGGCAGTACATTCAGCAGTTCCTTACTGAAGCGCCAGCTTAAATCAAATACAATAGTGCTATTAATGAACCAAGGCTTACAACTTTTCATTTAAGCTTTCTATTATAATCACATTACACCTAAACATCGGGATTTTGCCACTGTTTAGTGTTACATTGTTTATTATCTGTGGTGTATACTTATGCTGGTGTCAGTAAATGTAAGATTTATGTGGATGACAAGCTACTTTGTGAGTATTTGCTTATAAATTTTGATTAAGCTTGAATCATTTTTTTATAATGATGCATCCAAATCTTTACAACTTAATTTCCACCTATTATTCATGTTTTCCAGACCAAACATTCACATTGGCTGCGGGTACACAGGTCATCTTCTTCTAGGCCACTATCAAAGTTTCTTGAAGCCTATTGGAAACTCTGTGACAGTTACATGGAAATGATTTACTATCTAGTTTCTCCCCCGTTAGGGAGTTGACTGACAATTATTTGTATGGCAACAGACTTGTAATTAACAAGTCTTGCTGAATGGCAAATCAATGGTACACTATTGTGTCTCATAATTCTGTTGTGCTGCATGTTGGACAAGTACCAGCATGCCAGTCTATGTATTATGAAACTCGAGACAGTTGATTATTCTTACTGTTGGGAGCTGAACATGAAGTACCTATTTTGTACATTTTCCAAAGAGCAACTTGTTTTTAGCTATGAACAGTAAACATTATCATTCATGTACCTGCCAAGGACTGAAACCATACAAACTGATACTTACAGAAATTAGGAAACCATTTTCATGTTGCAGTTGCAGCTGGTACAGAAAACAAATAATTGATGAGCTGTACAGAAAAAAGAAAGACTTATATGTAGCACCTTTAAAATGTCGGTTTATCCCAAAGCATGGTGTAGACAATGAAGTGTAATTCCCTCCCTCTCTAATGAAAGTCCAATCATCTACTAATTTCCCCAGAAACATTTTACTTGTATTTGTTCTGGAGAGTATCAATCTTTTTGCTCGATGTTGCCATTTATATCCTGGATGTCTGCTTCTCTTCCTAGTGGAGGGGTTATTTGTATTCTTCTCAAAATCATATTCATTAGCATTGTTGAGGTACTAATGTAATTAATAAGAATTAGTAAGTAGAGTTTGTGAATTTTTAATTGCTTTCATGAATATTCATTTTATAACTTAACTGTTAGCGAAATACAGATGCTTTTTGCATAAAAATTTAGACAAGATTAAAACAACTTCACCATCAATTGGAGTTTAGTTCAGTATCTTTTGCTACTGTTCTGTTCACCATCTTGTTTTCTATTGCTGACAAGTGCCGTTTCTAACAGAGCTTCCAGATAGGAAGTGTTATTGTTCTGTTGGTGTTAAAACAAAGCTCAAGCAAATCGAGTCTGAGATAAGTGATAACTTTCTCAACCTGGCAGAAATACGTGGATAATCCAAAGCCATATGGCAAGTTTCTTGCTAGACAGTGAAGAGTTAACAATTGAGGGCAATTGTTGCTTGAAATGCCTTGTTAATTGCCCGAGTCACCTCATTAATATTTAACTTCCTATCTTTCTAAATGCACCAAATAAACTAGATGTCAACCTCAACACAGAAGCAAAAGCAGGTACCTGGTAGATTCAGGATGAACGCAGCAGGCCAAGCAGCATCATAGGAGCAGAAAGGCTGATGTTTTGGGCCGAGACCCTTCA